TTGCCTTCTTGGGGCTGGTCGCTCTGGCCTTTAACATGGAGCCATTCTACTTCATTGTTGTTCTCAGACCGTTTCAGCTGCTCCGGTCGGTTTCTCTCATTTTAAAATCCCACCCATCAGATTCCATTTTGGTTTTTAACAGTTTTTTTTTCTCCTGCTTTTCTCCCAGGCTGTTTAAGATAAAGCAGCGATATCGTAATGTGCTGGACACCATGTTTGAGCTCTTCCCAAGGATGGCCAGTCTGGGACTGACTTTAATAATTTTTTATTACTCCTTTGCCATTGTGGGTATGGAGTTCTTTGCAGATGTAGTTTACCCAAACTGCTGCAAGTAAGTGTCACTGTTGGTGTCAGAGGAAATCTAAACATTACGGTACATTTCCAAATGTTCATGTTTAAACATGTTTACCACAATGAAAACACATTTAAATGTGTTTATTATTATTATTATTATAAACTTTACTCTTCTGCATCTCACCCACATATAGATTAATATTTACTCAAAGGTTCCTTTTGTTTGTTTTTCCCTTTCTTTCCTTTTAGCACCAGCACAGTGGCGGAGTCCTACAGGCAGATTAACAAAACGTACGGCAACAAAACAGTTTTGGAAGAAGGCTACTATTATCTGAACAATTTTAACGACATCCTCAGCAGCTTTGGTAAGTCCTCCTTTCATTTTCTTTAAGAGTCCAAATGGTTTTCACATTATCCATAAACTGCTTCAGTAGCATGACTTTCTCCTGAAGCTCCCTTTTAAGGACTTTGAGAAAAACTTTTTTTTTTTTTTCTGCCACAATTGTTTTTCAATTAATTTCTTGCACCTAATCTATATAGTTTTACGTGGCATTTTCAACACGGTTTATTGCTGAAAAAAAAAACATAATTTATTTGCACATCTTTCGTTTTACTTTGAAGCTAATATGAAACAGAAAACTGACTCATCTATTGGTGATTATTTGTGTTTCAGTGTTAGTTAATCAATTAAACAGTTATCTTTTAATCAAAAGTGTAAGAAAGAGCACAAAAGCATGGGTTTGAATTAAAATTGGTAAGGCATTAAGAAAACCTTAGAGAATTGTTATAGAATCGCTGATCCTCTTAAAGCTAAATATAAACAAATATTTGTATCATTGTGTCTGTTATAAAATATGCTTCATTAAAAAAAATGAAGGGAAATGAAATAATGTGAGGGCAGATGTCGACTGTTCACACATAAAGTGTTAAAGAGATGTTCAACACTTTTTCATTTTGCCTGCAGTGACTCTGTTTGAACTGACTGTGGTCAACAACTGGTACATCACCATGGTAAGAGTCTGTCATTGTTGCTCAGAGCTCCTACAGCAGACCTGTTGCTCTTTAACAACTATTTTTTTTTCACAATTGATTGAGTTTTACACATATAAACCATCAAATGAATTTATTATTACAGAAAGTAAAAAAACAATTCAATTCATTTTGAAAGTTAGCAATATTAGGCATTAAATTAGAAAATATTTGTTAATGAAAACAAAATGTAGCATATATGATAACCCCCCTGTGTTTTAAGTTCATGATTTTTATAGATTATTGTTGTTCCAAATAACATCTTTTAGGTTTAATGGTGTACATTTTTAGCCGTGTAGGAAGAATTAGACTCAAGATCACCTCAAAATAATCTGGATATACTAGTTTTGAGCAGGAATATCCTAAGATTTGTAAATGTAGCAATGATGTAGTACATGTGATTTCAAGGTATGTAGATTTTAAAGTGAGATTTTGCTTTGAGATATTAAGAGTCAGGCCCTTCTCCAGTTTGTATCTTCAATTTGACACATATGATATGATTTTCATCCAGGTACAACTCAGATCTTCTTAGAAATATTGTTAAATTGGTTTGGGGGAACAGGAAAGATTTTCATAGACATTAAACTCTATTAGTAAAAATTATTGCTGGTTTATCACAGAGCTAATGAAGATGGTTAATGTCTCTTTTAAAAGTTTTTGAAAGATAGGATTAAGATTGAGTCAAGGTTTATAAGACTTTTTATTTTATTTACCAGTTACCGTAATTCCCGCATCATAGGTGCACTGGATTATAAGGAGCAAAATCAAGGCGCAAGTCATCTTCCTGCTTCCTCCACTTCGTACTAGAGCTGAACGATTTTGACAAAAATCAAAATCATGATTATTTTTCATCAATATTGCTTTTGCAGTTTTATTTCAATTTCCTTATTACTAACCACATGTATAGGTTTCATTACATGGATCTCTGTGGTAACTGCAACTCTTTTGACCTTTATGTTTGCCGGCAAACCCACTTTAAGTGTTTTACAGCCTCTGCAATTTGAAAAATTAATTTAATTGCGATTTTATTGCTATTGAATTGCTAGCCCTACTTGGTACCATTGATTCATTAATGTTGAATTTTCTTATAGCTGCTCGATTTCCATGTTCTTCTGCATTACTGACAGCCTTGAGTAGGAAGTCTGCGTCATAAGCGTGTCTCTTGACAGGTGCCATTTTGGGGTCCTTCTATACACACTGTAATATTATGGTGAGGCACAGTGTGTATTACTCCTCCATGCTCCTGACTTCGGTAGCCATGATGCTGTAGTTTTGTAGTTTACAAAAATTGTTCTTAAAGGGTGCCATGTCATACAAAACTGCTTCGAGGTCAGTAAGCTCTACCAGAATAAATCCATATAAAAGGTGGATTATAAGGTGCATTGTATTTTTTATTTATTGTAATTAAAGGCTTAAGGTGTGCCGTATGTGCTGAAAAAAATGTAACCTTTAAGGTGTTGAAAGTGATGCTTCAACTGCATTTTCTCCATCTTCCAGGAAGGAGTGACGTCCATGACAAGCCACTGGAGCCGCCTGTACTTCATGACTTTTTATATCGTGACCATGGTAATTTGTTTTTTTTTTTTTTTTCCCCTTAGTATTTACTCAGAGTATTTCCCTCTAACATATTATCTGTTTTTACAAGCAGAAGTTTGAAATACAGCAGGTGACCACAGTGTTTATTTCCTTCTCCTTTTCAGGTTGTGATGACCATCATTGTGGCCTTCATTCTGGACGCTTTTGTGTTCCGCATGAACTACAGCCGCAAGAACCGGGAGGCGGTGAATAACCCCGAAGGTGTCTTTTTAATTTATGTATGATGTAAACAGGATTTAAGGTGAGAGAGCAGGTGTGAGTTAAATGTGTGTGATTGTGCCGTAGATGAAAATGGGATAGTGTTTGAAGTGGAGGTGAGGAGAGATGAAGCCTTGGCCACCCTGGAGTTTTACAAACAGACAACCACATCTCTGTCCTCGCTCAGTACGCTGGCTGCCGTCCTGCAAGCCATGGACAAGAGTGGAGTAAGAAAATCCCCTCTAAATGTTGCTCCTGCTGCATCGCAAGGAAACCATGCTAACCTACTCTCTTCCTTCTACTTCTTGGTGTACAGCACACATCTTTGGTTTACTTGGGCCGCAGATCAAGGACAAAGAGTGACCTCAGTATGAAAATGTATGAGGAGGAGATACAGGTATGAAACCAAAGGATATGCTAAATGCATGGTTTTATAGAAGTGTCAACATGCTTTTAAAGTCCCTATGTAATATTCAGCCAGTTCTATAGTCTTAGCTCACATTAGAGACGATGACATTTCCCAAGAAGCTAAATGTCAGTATAAGAAGAACAGATTTCGAAGATAATAGACTTATCGTTTTGGTCATTGCAATATTTCTGAATATTAATATCATCCTAACATTGTATAGCCCAAGCTATAAATAATGTGGGGCACAATATAAACACATGGAAGAAGAGCCTTTTATCAGATGAGACAGAAAAATTTAACTTTTGGCAGTTCACCTTAACTCTCCCGGAACACACCACACCCAACAGTGACTGCAGTGTTAATCTGTAGATAAGTTTTTCTCCTGCTGGGATAGTGAAGCTGGAACACGGATAGAGCTAAATATGGGGTAATCATGTTAGATAATGCAAAAGATAAGAGAGAGAAAGAGGTTCACCTTCTAGCAGGACAATGACCCTAAATATACAGCCAAAGCTACAATGCAAAGTCTATTAATTTACCAAGACGACCTCGTCAAAGTCCAGACCTGAATCTGGCTAAGAATCTTTAGGACTATAAAAATTTTCACAGACATGAGCTTTAGGCGGTGGTTCTATGACGTCTGAACTCCCAATGGCAGAATCCATGCCACACTTTTCAAACTCATATTTTCCTTAATTCTTAATGCTTTGCTTTGTTGCTGAATATGAAGAAAATGAAAGTCGAATTTACTCTGTAGTTTAAGCTTTTTGGACAAAATGTAAAAAAATAAAATCAAGGCATGTAAACACTTTTACCAAACACTGTCATTGTCTGGGCTGCCCTTCCAAGTTTTCCCTCTGATCTATTTTAATGACTCTTTTTGTCAGGAGTGGTATGCAGAGTTTTCCAGGGAATGTTCGCCTCAAGGAGACGAAAACCTAAACCTGGATCAGAACAACGCCGTCGCCGACCCGTCTCCTTCACAAGAACATCAGTTAAACTCACAGGGTGGTTCTCACAGCATTAACTGAAATAACATGTAAGCGAGATGTACATAAACAACACCTCAGAGGAAACCCCAGCACTTCCAGTCCCCCCCACTGACTCTCAATAATGCCCTGAAAGAGGGGGGGTTAAAATGACGAGTCTCTTGAACTGATGTTGGTGAGATTAAATGACGCTGAGATTGACATTTTGAAGGACCCTAAAGAAGCTACCAGAAATCGTCTACTACTGCAGTTTATTTTGTGTAATTATCATGATCCAAAGTTTTGTGTACTCTTAATATAAATTAAACCTGATGCCTTAGTTTAACAGTTTCTGACCGGTATTAACATGAAGATACTAGATTCTTTGATAGCTGTAAGAACACTAAACACTCCCTAAAGGTAAATCCAATGTTCTCAATGTAAAAAGTTTCCCTTACTGTCTCAACAGACTTAAAGTATTTTATATAAGCTCTCATTCTGTAATGTTCCTGAAAGTAACAACAGATTTTAATAAAAGTATTCATACAATGAAGTCCCTGAGTGCATTGCTGCTGTGTTTCAAACAAGGTGGCAATTTAAAAATCACACTAAATTAAAACATTTTTCTTCAAAAGCCCCCATAAAAACTGAGGTTTTTTAGAAAAATAAACAACTGCATTAAATCACAGAACATTTACAGTATTTAAAAGTGTGACATTTTTTAAAACATGGAGTAAATATCAAAATATCCCAGAGATGGATGAGGGAACGATAAAAAGGCACAGTGTGATTGGTTTGCTGAGCACCTCAAGTCTTTCACCTCTTGGTTTTAGTGACCAAACACAGGAGAGTCTGTGTTAAGCATGTGAGTGCATCGCAGTTAATATCCAGTATTGTTTCAAGCAGGGGATAACTGCATCGGTCTGCACTCTTCCGTCTCTCACAAGGTCAGGTGTGGATCTTTCCAAACTCTGTGAGAAGCGCAATGAGAAGAAATACAAAGTAGAAGACGAGGAGGAAGATGCCGTAGGACCGACCCAGATGGAACTGGCTGAGTGGAACGATGAGAAAGGACAGGACCAGGGACAAGCCCAGAGAGCCTGCAAGAATCCACGTCAACAAGCCCTCAGATCCAAACTAAAGAGGAAAACAAGAGAATCAGCTTGATGGATTCTAGAATAGTGTCTTCTGTGGATTTTAAAGTAGAGGATTACCTGAACAGAAGATTGTGTTTTATACATCTGCGCCAGGCATCCCAACCCGACTCCAAACAGCATGTCTGAGATACAGTCAAGGTCCCATCGTTTGACTCTTTGTAAAAAGATGCTTTTAAAATTATGTGGTTTAGGGTAATAAAACTATTACCATGTTTTATTGAGGTTTGAAAAAAAAAATTACATCAATCATAAAGGTAGGCTCAGAAGATTAATTGTACTTTATCATCTACTATTTGGGATAATCTGTAGCTCATGATTATCGACACTACTTGGGGTATGAGTGCTTAATTTAGGATATATATATATATATATATATATATATTTCAATCTCGGTTCTTAATATTTATATTTTTATGTCTCTTCAGTTTTATTTTTAGAATCGTTATTTCTTTTCGCCATGCAGTCCAGCTCTGTATACATGTTGACATCTATCCTTTGTACAGATATTCCACTTCCTTCAAACATGTTTCCAAAGTATAAATTCAAATTGTAAATCTTAATGATTTTTTTTTATTCTGTTCTCATCCTAAATAACATTCCCAAATTCGTTCTATAAACTTCAGTGCAAAGGATACTGAAAATAATGCCTCCGAAGCAAGCAGCTATGGCCATGCGTGGGTAACCCTGCCGAGCCACTGTGATGTCAGAGAAACAGTCTGAAACAGAGAAATAAATCAATGGTTAGGTGCTCCAATGTGGATTGTGTGATCAGACTCGACAGATATCACCTCCGATGCTGTTGCCCCAGGCCAGAAGAGTCAAGCCCAGCACCGTGTTGCTGAGGCTCAACACCACACCGAGCATGTGCAGAAGACTGACCACCTCTGAGGCGGTGGCGCTGATCAACACTGCGCTCGCCACAAAGCCCAGGAGTGCAAATATCTGGAGGAACAAAGACGATTAGACTCGCATCTACTGAACCTTCTGATCATTTGTTGCATTACAAAATTTATTGGGTTTTCTGCAACAGGCCAGCAAATCAGAAGGTAAATGGCAAGGTTCTTAATATTTGTTTATAAATAAAAGAAGAATGTGGTGTGTGCATTTGCATTCAACTCCCATAAATATCTTTGAATAAAATATAGTAAAACACTATTTTTAAAGGTCAAGTTGAGTCACCTTATTCTGTTTTTTGTTCTCAGTATAATTCCAATAATGTTCCGCTGGAGAACTTTAGTAAACAAACAGAATCATTCAGACCAATGAATAGATCTAGTTCATATATGAAAAAAACAACTAATTTAATAAATTAAATAAGAAATTACAGTGATTCCAATTCAGTTGTAATTATAACAATGAAGTCAGGGGCAGTTTGATATTCCATCTGGTTAGACATTTTCCATCTAAGAAAATTAGCATTGGAAACAACAAACCTGATTTAAGTTCATTAATTAGTTGCATGAACTGCATGAATCAGGTGGTGAAGTAACCACACCCCTATATATTTCTGGCCAATCACATCATGTATCGTCTAAAACATGGTCAGCAGCAAAACGGATAGAAAGGCAACCTGCTTTACTTTACTGGTGTCTGTGTGTGGGAGGGGGTCACCATCCAGCCGGACAACCCTAGGCAGCTACAGCAGCAGCCATCTAAAATGGCCTTTCCCAGTCAAACGCCAGCTTAATGGCAGCAAACTTCCTGCCACTGGAGTGACCCCCTCCTTCTCCTGGATGTGCATATTTTTTTTACTCTGACTCCATCCTTTCACTGAATTACAGAGTCTGACCAGGAGAAGGTGCTTCTCTTTAGATCTTAATGTCCACATATAATGGCTGAAAGAATGTTTTAGTATAAATATTGATTAAAAGGGAATTGTAGGGGACCGACCAAGGACCAGCCAAGGGCCCATCAAGGAAAGTGGGGAAATTTAGAATGGCTACTACTGTATAGTGGAGAACTTTAGTTCAAAAGATACATATTCCTGTGTTATGACTCATCCAGAGCTGAATTCAGTAACTGTGGCAGAAGCTCCCTATCAAGTTTGACTGGATTTTAGTAATTTCAAAAAAATGTCTTTCATTTAATCCTGTCGACATGCAGGGCTGGTAGAGACCAGCCACAGTGCATGTTGGTTCTACACACAAGAAACAATTTTAAAAGGTAAAAAAATAAAAATCTGTCATTGTCCCTTAATTTTACAGTCACCCTATAACTCATTAAATGACATTTGAATTAAATGCTCAACATTTTGTGACTATAGCTTTAAAAAAAAAAGGGGGATTTACTTATTTTGCAAGGCATTCCCTTTAATGTAATTAGGAATACTTCAATATAACAACATGCTGCATTTTAAGGAAACATCCTGAATCTAAACTAAATATTGTTGCATATTTTGCTTAATTGGCTCAGTGTCCAAATAAGGCATATTCTACTCATTTGTTTGTTTTCCTCCCTGTTTTACAAAATTTGAAGTTTTCTATTCTTAATATGCATTAGCAAGACCACCTACTGGGTGATATTTGGGAGGCTGGTCGTTGGTTGTGGTACAGAAAACTATAGCCGCCAAGAACATTCCCAGCAGGAGAGTCAGCAACCAGATAGGAAACTCCCCCTGAATCATGACTTCGCCATCTAGACGATGAGAAAAAACTCAATGTTTAGGCATTATTTTATCTTAAGGTAGCTTTAGTGTGTTTATAGTTATTATCGTTTTATAGTGTGACATAATGTGCTTACATGCTCCAGACTGAAAGACAAGAACACACAGCAGAGGAGCAGTGATCAAATGGAGGCAGTTTAACGGTCTCCTCCAGTTTTTGTCCTCCTTGTCTAGGTCCACTACAGGGACACAGAGCAGCAGCAGCACCTCCAGAGGAGTCTTACATCCAAACAATGGGAGAAACATTACAATGAGAGATTTAAACAGACCTTATCCCTCTGCACTGTTCACCAGATTCGGACAAACCTTCACTACTTTAAGGAGCCTCCAAGTCCATGATTTCCTCCGCCACTTCCTGCTGTCCACTGGATTCAACGAACTCATCAGGATTTCACTTGTGGACTCAGAATATGGCAGCAGTGGCCTGTACTCAGAGTCTGCAGCACAAACGTGTGATTATTGATGGGGAAACGTGCAAAAAACCATCAGTGGTCTGAGCTGCTGCATTCTTACCGTAGTCCTGCTGGATCGTTCCTCCTGTCAAGCCTGGAACGTCTTCATCAGATGAGTCTGATGAGCTGAACTCTGCCTCAAAGAAAAACAAACTCATCAGTAAAAAAAAGCAGGAAGAAAATGCACATAGAATATTCTAATATGTAAAATTCTAACCTGGAATATGTGGAACGTTTTGGACACTGTTTGTATCGGAGTTTTTTCTCCGGTTATAGATGTATGAACTGATAATAACGGTCAGAACATAAACCACATAGAGGCTCATGTATCCTGGAAAAAAAAGAAAGGAAAAGAGAACCAGTCATACCTCATGAATGTTAATACAGTGCTATACAGTTTTGATGTGTGAAGATGATAAGTATTATGAGAGCTGGTCACTTAATTCCTGTTTTTATTTCTGCCATTTTCATCAGGTTTAAAAAGAAGTTAATTTCCAGAATCAATTCAATATAATAAATAAACATTTCACCAAAATGCATAAAATCTAGCCTAGTAAACTAGCCCCACCCGCCAAAATCATTTTTGCCTGCGAGTGGTCTAGCCTCGATGAATGACCCAGGCCAGAACTGGCTGGCCAATCACAACGCAGAGATGTGTTTTGAATATTTGGATGCAAAGCAGGCGGGGTTTTGAGGGTGTGACAACAAAGCTGCGCAACTCTGAAGAAAGCACAACAAGGAAGATGGCTACAACTATTGAACAGTTCTCGTTTGACTCAGCTTTGGAATCAGTTTTGGAAGGATTAGACTTGGGGTTTTCATTGAAACGTAAGCAGAAAGAAGCTCTACGCTCATTCATTTTTAAACAGGACATTTTCAGCATTTTACCAACAAGCTGTTTGTTTACACTCCCCCACCAGCTTTCTGTCGCGCTTACTATGTCACAGTCAGTTGCGCTCATTGGTCAGAGCGTTGGCCAATAGGCACAGAGATGGTTTGAAAAACAATGGGTTGTTCTCATCAACAATCTTCCGATGTCTCATTCATCGGTGCCAGACTAAATTACACATTTAATCTCACATTATGTCTGATTTATCAGGCTACATAAAATACATATCAACTAGAAAAGCACTCTGGGAGGGCAGACCTCCGCCAAACAGCTCATTCCCCCCCCAACATATTGTGACTTCCCCTTAAGTTAATACTTTGAATACAGGTACAGTAGGGCAGGACAATTAGGGCTGGGCAATTAATTGCATTTAATACAATTGAAATTTAGAGAAATGTCATTTTCAAACTGCAGAGGCGTTCCATTTTAGTCACATTACATTTAACAAGAGTAAGACACTCAATTTATTCCTCCAGCCCTGCAGGTGGTGGTAATACACTTAAAGGCACACTGCAGACTTTGTGACCTAAACAGTTGATGCATATGAGTCATTTTAAATGATTCATCACGCCAATATACAGCACTTCACCCTATTAATGCTATGAACGGGGCTCCCCTCTTGAAATACTGACTATGTAAGTTGGGAGAAGACGCACCGTGATTTGCCAGGTCATGTGACCTGGAGGACTTTACTGACTTTACTGATATCGTCATGAACTATTATTTTTCCACCTGCTCGACTACTGGTCATGGCTGAGGCACGGAAAAAGTTTAAACCTTCTGAGGAGGCTAAAAAGAGAAAACGTGAAAGGGGTTGTGGCGAAGGAAAAACAAGAGACGAACAAGAGCAGGCACGGGCTGAAAGAAGCTGAACCTAGACGTCTAGCACCATCCCCAATCAAAAGACACGGGAGGCTGGTGGGTTGACTGTTTGTCGACTTTTGCGACAGTGCTGCGGCGATTGTGGCCACTAGACTTAAAAGTTACAGGTCTAGCACCCCTAGTGGCCAAAAGTTACATGTGTGCCTTTAAAGTAGGTTTGATGCCACACAAAAGTTAGCAATGGCATTGTTGCCAAGTAAGCTTTCAAGGTCATGAAAAAACTGAAACCCTGGAGTAAAAAAATCCTCATGCTTTTGCTTAGTGCAAAGGAAAATCACAATAAAATTGCTAAAATAATGGCTATCTTGATTTTGAGCAAAATCGTTTAGATGGTGATCCCGATCATCACCAAATGTAATCATTTGTTGCCAGCCACACTACGCGCTTTCTGTGAAAATATATTCCGCTAAGCTGTGTGTTTACCCAGTGTTTCTCCCAAGGTTGTAACGCCTCTGTAGAGGATGAGAAAGGTCCAAAACACAGCAACCATGTAGAAGATGACATCACGTAGAAACGGACGGGAAGCTACAGCAAAGGGTTTGACCAGTGCAACGCTTCCAGCCACTACTGTGGTAACAAATATCCCGGCTCCTGTAAGGACACAATTATTATCCTTTAAACATTGCTGTTAGATTATCTTGATGCTAGTAGGAGAAAAATAGAACACAAGTACCAAACAGAGCCCCGACAGCCAGCCCAGCGGTATGTGGATGGGAGATCGCTGCCATGGCACTGAAGATGTCTGGAGCTCCATTACCCAACGCCAGGAACGTCACACCCTCAGCAAGGATTGCTGTCAAAGAAACAACTCTCCACCAAGCATGGGCCAAGATTGAACCAAGGTTTTAAAAAGTTTCACATCATTTTTATATCAAGCAGTTGCTACTTTTAAAGGTTGTTTCACTCAGATAGCAGAGAAATCTGGTGAATGAGTTAATTTTTAAAGTAGTGAATTTTCTGCAGCAATGTGGATCATAGTATAATGCAATATTGCTCTTCAAGCATGGGTTGCTTTGCCCTGCTGGTCAGCTGGCTGAAAGAAGGTGAATACAGATTCAAGATTATTAAATTCGGCTGTTTGGAAATAATTTTGATATTTAAAAAAAAGTTAGCAAGCTGAGCCCCTGATTACACATAGGTTTTTTTTATCTAAAAACTGAAAAGTTCTGTTACGCTTACTGTGTTTGTTTATGCCAAAATGGTGTGTGGAAATCATCCCCATATTGGTTGCAGTGTAAACAGGGATAAAAACATTTTATTGGGAGGTCAGAGTGGCATGTTTTTAATCAGGGAATGTAGGGTTGAAACAATTAATCGTGACTATTAAAATAATCGTCAACTAATTTAGTAGATTGATTTAGTTAATTAAATCATTAAATGGAGTATAGACTATAAAACATGTCTTTAGCTGACAGTGTGACCCACTTAGAGCAGTAATTATATCAAAACTCTAAAAAAAAAAATGTAAACATATTGCATTTAAGATAAAAAAAAAGTTTTTATCTGTCAATATGCTCCATCTTCCTCAAGTGGAAAAGTTTTAGTTTCACCTGGTTTAATTTCGTAAAAGAAAAAATTCTTTAAGGAATCTTTCACTATCTTATTATTAATCGATTATTTAAAAAATAATCAACCGATTAATCGATTTGCAAAATAATCGTTAGTTAGAGCCCTAAGGGAATGTTTACTTTCGTGCTCAAATTGTTGCCTTTCAGAGAGCCGTCCACTTACTAGTGGTGTAGCAGGGATAATATACCATTTTTAATGTTTCAACCTCTGCACAGATTGAAATTAAAACATGATTATGTTGGTATAACAGCAACGGAAAAATAATCCAATTTTCAATTGACATTTTTTGTAAACTGAGTAAGCGGAGTGAGCTGTAGGCTAATTATAGAAGCAGAGAGCATGACCAGCTAATTTTAGCCTGTTATGATCCTAGAGTAACTATCAAGAGCAGAATTAATGTTCTATCAATTAAGCAAGCTTATTTGATAAATACTAATCAGATCAACAGGACATTTATTCTGGACTTTTGTTTATTTTGAAATATAAAACCAAAATAAATCAATGTCAGATAAGACTATCAACTGATATAATCATTTCTTTATTAGCTGCAGCAGGAATACAATTTTTTTTTTTT